TGGCCAGGACGTTGTAGAGGGCGCGGAGCTCGGGCGTGATGGTGTCGATCTGGACGCCGACGCCGTCCGGGTGCACCCAGGAGACGCCGGGCCGCTGCAGGGTCTCCAGCCCGCCGCCGCCCGTCCGCCGCACCTGCGTGTAGCTCCAGATGGTGCCCGGCAGCCGGCTGTAGTGCTGCTGCTGATGCGGCGTTTGAGGAGGGTGAGGATGAGGAGGAAGCGGCGGCGGCGGCTGCTGCTGCTGGGGCGGCTGCCGGGGCGGGGAGGCGGCGGGCGTCCCGGCGGGGTCGGTCTGGGTGGCCTGGTGCCGGGGGAAGCGCTTGTAGCGGAGGCGGCGCTCGCCGAGCTGCTGCTGGGCCAGGAGCTGCTTCTCGAGGAGGCGGTTGCGGCGCTCCAGCTCGTGCACCTTGGCCAGGAAGCAGCGGAAGCGCACGTTGAGGCCCTTCAGCAGGTGCAGGTTCGAGCCCAGGTCGTTGCGCAGCGCCGACGTCGCCGGGCCCCCCTCGCCCCCCGCCGCCGCCGCAGGGCCCAGCAGCCCCGCCAGGCCCAGGCCCAGCCCCGGCGGCAGACCCAGGCCCGACCCCGGCCCCGACTCGCCGAACAGCAGCGAGCTCGTCGTCATCGTCGTCGTCGTCGCGCGCCTCCGCCGCGGAGGGTGGAGAAGAAGGAAAAAACCCCGGCCTCGCCGCCCTCAAGTCTCCCTCGCGGTCCGCCTCCCCCCTCAGCGGCCGTTAGGATCCGACCGTTGGGCAGCAACCGCCGCCGCCGCCGGCCGGGCGGGATTGGAACGGGCGGGCGCCCCGAGCCGCCATGGCGCCCCCTCCCTCCTCCTCTTCTTCCTCTCCTTCCTGTCGCTCCTCAGGAAGCCTCGAGCCCGGCGGAGAGAGAGAGCGCCGAGGATGCTGCCGCGCCGTCCCCTCTGCAGTGCTCGCCGGCCGCGGCCCGCGGCGGCCCCTGACTGGCTGAGGGCTGGCCGGGGGGCGGGGCCTCGCCGGCGTCGGCACGCCCCCTCCGCAGCGCCGCCTCGCCTCCTCCTCGCCTCGGCTTCTGGACCCGCCACCCCCCCCTCCCCCCGAGACGGCCGCCCCT